CTTGTGTTGACTGAAGCTCTCAAAGCACGATGACTTATTAAGTCAACAAGCGATCACCCGGTATAGAGTCGCTCATTCCTTCCCCGTCGGACAGCAAACTTCCTTTTCAGAAATTTCCAAAGCCACGGGCCTCGAGCAAAGTCTTGTTCGTCGAATTGTCCGCCATGCCATCGTTCGCGATATTTTCTCAGAACCTCGACCCGATGTCATTGTCCATAATGCTGTCTCGCGGCTATTGGCAGAAGACCAAATCATGTATGATTGGGTGAGCATCAACGCGGGTGAGCTGTGGCAAGCCGCTGCGCAAACGTGCAACGCTTGGCACAAATGGCCTGGGTCGCAAGAACCAAATCAGACCGTGAGTGATTATTAAAGTGACTCCGTTTGTCTAAACGTTTATTGACCCAAGTTCCCTTTCACTGAGCCATTATAGGGATTTGCTCTCGCGAACAACACAGAGCTCTCAATGTACGCGGAACTCTCACGATTTCCAGAGCGCTCCCGCAGGTTTGGCAACTCAATGAGGGCATATACCCAGGGAACAGGTTTTGAGCTACATCACGTTGTAGAGAACCTGCCCTGGGACGATTATAAAAAAGGCACAATCGTTGATGTCAGTGGTTATCATTTGTTCGAGAGCTGTTCAATACTATGAGAGTGCTGCTAATGACGATTTAGGTCGGTGGCTCTCAAGGTTTCGTCTCTTTCGCTATTGTACGAGAATTCCCTTTAGTCTCGTGCGTGGTCCAAGACCTCCCATCCGTCATTCCAGAAGCCGAAAGAGAAGCACCAGATGATCTGGCGAGCCGCGTTTCCTTCATGGGCTACGACTTTCTTACGGAACAGCCCGTAATTGGTGCCGACATGTACTTATTCCGGTGGATCTTCCACAACTGGTCCGATAAATATTCGATACAAATATTAAGAAATCAAATTCCCGCGCTCAAAGACGGCGCGAAAATTGTCATCGTTGACAACATCTTACCAGAAGCCGGTAAGCTATCTCGGTGGCAAGAGAACCGTCTCCGGTAAGTAGTGAATGTCAATGACCGCCCTTCTGACCTTCGTACTAACAATCCTGTACTCGTATTAGGTCTATGGACCTCTGTATGATGGAGATACAGAACTCTTGCGAGCGAGACGTGAGCGATTGGATAAGGCTTTTCAGAGATGCTGATCCCCGATTCAAGGTTCAGAGTACCAAGCAGCCATTAGGCTCCAGTCTCGGGTTCATCGTCGCCGAATGGAAAGAATAATGGCTTGAACATGATTAAGAATTGGAACCTTTTTCGTCGCTTGCGCCTTGAAGCAAATCATCAACGGCTAATAGAGTCAAATTGCTCGCAAAACCTAAACACACTCGATTCTCCAGAAGACAGTCGCTGAAAGGTCACATGTTATATAGGAGGTAGCCAGATCCCACCTCAGTAAGTCAATGCCTACCATGAAACCTCGACGAGACGTCACTTGACAGCGATGGTAATTGTGCAACTCGCGTGGAGCACCCGCGCGGGCACTCCTATACATGAAGTTGCCGTTTCCCGTCCGAATCGATCATGATTCGCGATACACCTCCCCTGGAGCGTGATTTTCATTTGGAAAAAATGTAGTAGTAAAAGCGATATGAACTTACAACGCTAGTCGTTAATGATGACATTCTATAATGCGCGACCGCCCGGCGTCTTATCGTCCTTTATTCCCTGCGCTGCGAACAAAAGGTTCCAGTGGGAAGACCTCGTTTTCCGGTGTAATCCCATCGTAGATCTGTGCCCATCTCGGGCGCAGATGACTGGGCGTAGTCCAAGCGTTTTCCGGGTCCCTGAGCCAAAGTCGAAGAAGATGTCGCCTAGAAGTAACTTAGTACACAGGACGATTACACGGGCGACGAGGTATAGAATAGACGAAGAGTTGCCAACACTTACTGCTTGTCGCCCTTATCCACAAACCCGTCTCGGGCGTGGAATATGCTCAGATTATTTACGTATTGCATGTCGCCTTTTTGGAACTCGGTGTTCACGCAGAACTTCTCGCCCGTGAAGTGAAGAGTGTCGAGGGCCTCCGCTTGTGCTTCGGTGATTGGGGGGATATTTTCACTTCTCGGCAGTGAGCCAAACCCGACGAAATATCGTCGCCCATACTGCAGTGCGACACGCTCGGGAGTCTTCTCAGTGGCTGGCAGAAGGTACAGCAGGGGTCTCTCAGTCCACTGCTTTGCTGCTTTCTCGAATCTATTGTACCGAGAATGAGTTGACATGAAAGAGCAGAACATGGAAGACAAATGCAACACCGCGACACATACACTTCCATGTCCCATATCTCAGAAAGAGTATGAATAAGATCAGGCCGAGTCCGAGCGATCTCGTTATACACCCTCCACGTGCTAGCAAGCTTACTAGCCCCTCCGGAGTGAGCCGTCTCCAGAGCGAAAAGGGAAACAATATCCCCTGAGTCGGTGTGGAAAACTTGCTTGTCTGTCGTATAAGCTGGAGAACCGATGATCCCGTTCGGGTCAGAGTGGCTCAAGTCCTTGATATGTGCCAGAACCACGTCAGCAGGTTTGCCGTTAAACTTGTGATCCTGGCGGCCGCGCTGGGCAGCAATATGAGAAGAGATGCCGAGATAGATGATAACGTTGTCTTCTCGCGAATGCTCATCTACTTTGACGCCACGTATCACAAAGAAACCATGGCCACTATGAAGCTCGTCCGATAGGCGCCGAAGTTCCGAGTGCAGAGTCGGTAGAGGGAAAGTCTCCGCCTTGATGTGGGCGAGTGAAAGATTAAGTGCTGGGTCATGGGGTCAGCTAGATACTACACAGAAACAATAGATATCGAGACTGCAAGGCTCATATATCTATGCCCTCGTATGATGAGAGAGAATTACATTTGAAATGCGCCAAGGCGTCATCTATCTCAGTTAGCTGACTCGAGCTGAGAACGTAAGTCCAGTCGTAGGTATCGGTGACGGTATTCCCCTCCCATACCATTGGACCGGTGAGGTACTCTGGAAAGCCTGCAGGCAGGCTTGTTGGCAGACCACCGGCGCTCTTTCGCCGAGCTACGCGAGCCTGCCAATTGTCATAGTCAGGGGCATACTTAATGTCCGGCTGTCCAGGAGGCGGTCGGGCGGCTGGCGTAACCCAGGTGACAGTCTCTGTAGCAGTTGCCATGTCTGCGAGAAGAGAAGAGTGCGCCTTCCAGACTGGGCCTTGTGTCCTCTTTCGTATGTAACTGTAATGGATCCGGTTGCGTTGATCTCTGATATCTAGATATCGAGTCAATACTGACGCTGAGGAGTTAGTCAAAGACCATGTTATAAGTCATCCTTCGGCTCCGGAGGCCAGAGTAGTCATTACGGTATCTAAATGCGGGGTGACTTTACAGCGGCGAACAACCCGACGACATCCCGATCTTCAATCGAGGAAACGGTTGGATGACGCCATTCACAGGTATCATGCGCCATCGCCTCCTCCCAGGTTCCTCACCAATCAACACTTTCATAATCTGAAAATTTCTCCAATATCGGTATCAGCTTAGTGGGACAAGAGTGCGATTGGAGTTTCATTGCCACAATAACCGGAGTGCCTTTGGGACTTCTTTGTTACCGTGGTTTAACACTTGCTACCTTGATATCTTCCAACACTCTTTGGAAGTAAGGATCGCGACTAACAAATTCCACACCTCTTCAATATCATGTGGAGATGGCAATCTCGCACAACCAACGGAGTGACTGGACCTGCCTTTGTAACCGGAATTGTCAACAGTTACGAGCAATTGGAAATGCCGTCGGCACGGAGCTCTCTCGAGACAAGTATGCACTGTAATCTCGCTCCTCATTCAGAATCTCCATGGGTCTTGTTGCTGGCTGGTAGTGCAATCACATGCGCTGTGATATGTTCACTAATAACCTTGGGGGCGCAACACTCAAAAGCACAAACTAGCATCTAGAAGAACTGCTAAGAATCAGAATGAGACTGTGCTTGACATTGCATCGACCTGAAATAAAGGCAAGTAGGAGTCATTGTCAGACCCGGGTGTCTAGAGCTATGTTAACCAAGCCGTATGGGACCAGTCATAGACGTGAGTTGCCACAATTTAAGGTAAAGGCGACTAGAAGTTCATGAATGAAATAAAAGGGTGAATTAGAGTTCCATATCATTCTCTGTAAGTCTAAGGAATACAATGATATCTGGATAGTGACTCTTTTGCACTTTAACCTCGTTCGCACCACGTCATATGCGATGGCCTAGAACAAACGGCTTCAATCAGTGGGCAATGTGCACTTTAACGTACATATCCGTGTCTCCAAGACCAAGCCGAACTACTTCCAACTTATTCCCACCTCCTGTGATCAGCCAGGATCGCATACTGAAAGCAACAGGAGTGTGTGGCGATTCAGTTGAGCAAAGTTCGCCGTTTGCGTTAAGGCCTTTGCGAATGTACAAGAGCTCCTTCTTGGATTCGGTATCAAAAGTCTTACGGAGTCGGCGTTTGTAAATCTTTATCAACCTGTAGTTGTAACATTTTCGTTTGTATGCACGATTCCGAGCTATGTGTAACACAGATGCCGTGACAGATATCTACCGTGAATCAGAGCCTCAGAGCCGCGGGTCATACACAATGATCTGGTCATACACATGATCTCTCTTCGCCTATGAAGCTTGTGTTTCTGCGATCAGGTTACAGCTAATTTCGGCAAAACAATATTGCAATTCCCCACGGCGTCAACAAACAATCGCTTCAAGACGTTTCGTTGACGCTGGGCCTTCGTCTTTGACCATTTCAAACGCAACGTTTACATCCCACATCCAGTCGCTTCTATCCCTGCCACCTGGTCACATCTACTATGACATCGTCTACACCACTCCGGGTCCCTCGCGCAACCACACGACCCACGAGCATGTGACAATGCTGCCGCGTCAACATGCCAATTGACGCGTCACACTGAACGCCCTTCCGTTTGTATATTATCGTAAACAACACGTCATTCTGTAAATTACAGCCCATTTAGAGCAGTGGTTAGCTCGCTGGCCTCCGATCATCGGGACAGCCAGAAGTCGTGGGTTCAAATCCCGCAATGGGTAACCTTTTTTTTTCCCTTTTTATGCAAATCCTTTTTAAACGTACAACTCACATGCGACCAGAACGCTTGACGTTACTGACCCCGATTGGCGTGAACTTCAGTTTCTGTTACACGATCGACTATCGCAGAGTTGAGAAGTTTCGCTGGCAGTTATACGTATATGTTATAAGTAAAGGCATTGAAATTATCTAAGGGAGGTTCTATACGCACTTTTGTTAGCTTGACTGTAGAGGAGCCGGGGCATTGTAGGCCACCGATATGTCTTCAGTGCGCAATATGGCCAACAGTACACTCGATATGCTGAGCATTCTCATGACGAATCAGGTAGATTTCTATATATCCAGTCTATTCGCTGGGAGTACATGCCGCCGACCACCTCGCATCGTCATGCGTCACAGCGAGCCCGGCTTGGACAGTGTCAGCCGTGATGAAGTCCCCAAAGCTGCACGTCCCATACTCGTCACTCTCGCATCCTGTCGGACTCAGGTCGAAATTGGCCTCATTCAACAGCAGCTGGATCCTAGTCTCATCACCACACGACAGAGTCTTGAAGAACATCTGTGCAGCGAAGGGGACCTGCTTAGCCGTCCGCCAAGCGCGTGTAGCATTAACGGGACCCTCAGGAGGGTAGGCGGGGTCCGCGGCCAGCCCAAGCGCGGTCAGTCCAACATCGATCGTGGTGTCGTGGCCAAAGTTCAACGACAGATTCGGACCCGTCGTGTCGCGAAGAAACGCGGTCACGTTTGAAACGAGTAGACTGCCCGTGACTGCGCCCATATCGTCCGGCAAGCCATAGCCAAAGGCGCCCCGCAGCAGGAGATCATACTCGTACTCGTGTTTGAGAATCTCCTCCGGGAGAAAGACGGGGCACCACGGCGACGAGTCAATGCCGTATACAGCAGTACCATAGGCACAGGCATACAACATGCCATGCACATGCGCGGCCGTGAAATTGACAGTCGGGTACGCTTGAGACAAGACGCGGTTGATACGCCTGGCAATGGGCGGCAGATAGACAGCGCCCCATTCGGCCACCAGGTCGGATCCATAAGTGTACTCCCAAGCCTCGCAAGTGTCAAAAGGGGTTATCCAGCTCACGGTGACGTCGTCCTCGGCAATGCGGTTAAGCGTCGCCGTCGAATTAGCAGAACGGCCATAGTAGCCGTCCATGAACCAGACGGCCGATTCGACAACGCGATCCTGGTCTCCGGCCAAAACCTCATTGGTGAACAGCTCAGGGTACTGGAGCTTCATCGCCACGCCATGATTGAAGAGCTGCTGGCGGCCGGGAGCAGAGAGGTCATTGATACCAAAGGTGCTATTCCAGCCTGCCGTCAAAAAGGTGAACTCGGTAGGCAGCTCTGTCTGCGGAGACGAGAAGAGCGCCGAGTTGTTGTTGATGTAATAGGACAGGTTTTGGATGGCGCCAACCTCATCCGACAGAGGGCTACGGCTGCCGTGTCGGTGCACAAGGAAGCCTTTGTCGACAGTGCACCCTGGAGGCGAGCCCGACTTTAGGGACGCCGGGGTATTCTCTGGCACGAAATACGGCGACAAGTTGCCCAAGTGCTTGTAGAGGTCAAACTTGCAGTTTCCTCCCGACAGCACGGGCAGTGCTAGCGACGGCACAAGCCAGAAAGCCCTCTTCCACGATGCAACCATGATGACAGAGACTCCCAAGCCAAGCAACAAAGGGCTTGGGCATTCATGTCGGCCAAGACGGGGACGGCTGCGGGCTTTTGTATTGGGCCCCTTGCTGTCGGGGCCCTGGCGGAGGATTCGCGATTGGCGAGTCATGCTCGGCGATAGTGTTTGTTATGTAGCTGCATGGGTTCGCGATTTAGCACCCGGGCACCTGGGACGGCGGCCGGACAACCGACGATAGTGGCACATCCACCTTCCTAATGAGGCAACAGGTCGCGTGCTCCTAGATAGCTGGAGGAAAGAGACTACGGAGTAATATCGCGAGATATGGATATTCGGCTCACTGGTCTTCATGTCGTCAAGTCAATCATCCTAGAAACCCTACATTTGAACACAGGGCAAGGAATAGTGTGCAGCTCTGGTAACACCATAGCGTGCGTACCAAACGCGAATGCAAGAATCACGGCGATAACGGAACTCTTGCACCACGGATAACCTCGACTAATACGACATGTCAACAGGTTTTCATACACTTCATATCATTCGAGGCAGATAAGATTGCGGATAGGGATGAAGAGAGTCGCAATGGAGATTTGCAATAGACATTACCGACGGGATGCTTAGAGACTGTAGATAGGCGAGATAGTCTCCTCGAATCCTTGATGCAGGCGGGGCCGGGGCCTATCCACGCATGCAGGTACCTCCACATGCATCGGTGAAGACAGCACACATGATTCTTGAATCCCCGATACAGGAAACAATGTAGTAGACATGCTGTTCCGATGTCATCAACTTCGTATACCCAGAAAGCAAAGCTTCGGCTGTGACGAAACGAGAAGAGAAAACGCCGCAATGTTACCCAAAGTCGATGCATTTCTCATTTTCCACGTGCGCATTGCATGATGGATGGCGGCGATGGCCGATTGGCACCTGGTAGACCGTACCTGCAGTTCTTATCGCTGGAGTCTGCGTTCGGGATTCGCGTCATCGAATCTGGCTTCCCGCCCACGTGGGAAACTGCAGTCGCAATTTCCGCGCCCGATGGAGACCAAGACTCCAAGAGACAGCATCGCGGTGGAGGATGACGGGCATTACGATTCCGTTACCCCCATTCGCTAATCGCCGTCTTCAGTCCGTACTCCCATATCACCGCAACATTGGAATTGGTATACACACAATCGTTATACATACCGGCCTAACATCAATTCCATAGTCAATCGTTACAACACACTGATACGCTGGCGAACTTTGGGCTTTCGGTTTGTCGGTCACTTAGCTATCCGATCCGTCTCAAATCGTACCTCCACGATGCCACTCAGGGACCACCCATCGTCTGATCCTCCTGGTAGTCCATCGCGAGGGCCCGCCTTCCAGAACTTGGGTATGCTCATCCATCCATGCCCCAGTACTAGACCTGTCTAACATAGGTCAGCTCGGCAAGATTCGTTCGTCTCTATTGACCTCACGGAGGCAGACGTCAGCACAGAGAAGACGAAGATACCTGAATCACCGGACCCCCTGAAGGACTAGTTATATCACTTCGGGGAATGGTCTGATGAAGAGCCGCAAAAACAGACTGCGACTCATCTGAACAGGGGCTCCAAACCACAGACCAAAGCTCGCAGACTGAAGCGAGCTGGCAAACAGGTCCAATCTCGACAACGACGTCACTCTCGTCAGCAAAATGGGAATCAAGAGCAGCATGATTATCAAGTGGTAGACTGGCTAGAGTGGCTAGAGTGTCATGGCGATCAGGACGTTTCCGAATCCGCGTCACAAGCTATCGATGGGGTCGATTTTGGTCTCCCTTCGACTAGTGACATCAAAGGAAAAGGAGTCTATCGACCGTCCCTCCACGAGTATTCGAATGTTCCTATCAAAGGCCACGACATAGGCCTGGAGACACAGTCAGGTCCTCAGCCATCTCAAGGTGACAAGCCCACGGAGCCAACAGGCGAGGGGCAAGAACCATCCTTGTTCTAGGAAGCACAAGAAAACGGAACCAAGCAATCGGGCACCGATAACGATATAGATAATGGCTACGACGCCGAAGCAGAAAACGACAGTGGCAACAGCTCCGGTCCATACGAGGACGAAAACAAGCCATTCTACCTCAATCCAAACGAACAACGGAACGCCGACGCGTACGACAAGGAAGTGGAGAGTTCCTATGACCCAGAGCTCGACGACGAGGTCTGCCAAACACCGCATGGTTCACTGTCACAACTGCACAGATTAAGGCAACGTCTAGAAATCATCCCAGAAGACTCAGACGAAGATGAACCGCGCGACATCCCACTGTCTGAACTGCCAGGAGGCCTCCCCATCCCCGAGATCCGCATCACAGACACAAGCCTCGACGACCCCCCTGACGACGACTCTCTTTACGAGTTCCACCCCATGATGACATCTGGCTTGAGCCCTCTCCTCGCACCTCCCTCAGCGAGCCATCACAATCCCCACTACTCCAGGGGAATCGACTTTGTACCCATGCCCGACGGCTACATCCACACCCGGATCCCCTTGTCGCGAATCTACCCCCAGAGCCGCGTGGACCGGATCTGGAACCGTCTCAAGCGATTCGGATGTGCACTGCGTCCTGAACCATCTGATCACGTCATAGATGCCCGGCCGCCGAGCTCCACGTCTTGGAATCCGTTTGTTTGGCGCGTGAGGTGGGGTACGAGAAAAGCGGACAGATATACGTACTGATAGGTGCAAACTAGTAGATGTTTTAGAAGATTATTATCCAGCGATTGGAAGGAAGAGATTATTGAGATGGAAATGGAGATACAGCAGAGATGACGACGGGTAGATTACAAAGTAGTGTTTGGTATTTCACTTCTAGCGATTCTTATAGGTAGCTGTTTACCTTTGTTTTCACACATGGGAAATCACAGTAGAATTTGCTTTTCTCACCGTCCTACTCATGTTTACTGCCGTGTTGATCTGTCCCAACGCTCGGCATTATACGTATGACCAAGCTCCCACATACTACCTTATACTTGTCGGGTCCATACCGCTGTGCCAGCCTAAAGATTGGGTAGCCAGGCAAACTGTTCGACCTGGTAGGCTAAGCGCCTTTTAGTCCTAATATACACCGAACGAGTTACTCAAGTGGCACAGCGTTGCAGACGGAGTCCAAACAGCCACTACTATGATCGAGTAGTAAACAGGCTATGGAGAGGCTGAACACCCTATCAACGAGTGGAGGTGTGGTAGACCGCTAGCGATCAAAGGCAGTGGATTTTATATGCTCGAATCTGGATGATGACTACTGTAAAAGCCCCTTTGACTTTCCATCTCGGACATCAATATCAACGATCCGGCAGAGGTGGATCAAAGGTTCCCACAACG